CCAAGGGACCCCACTGGTGCACAATGGGGGTTGGGGAGGGACACAGTAGGTTGGCCCAGCCAGGGAGAGACTGAAGGAGGGATCCAGGATCTGTCTTTCTCAGTCCTGATCAGCCAGACTCAAGCAGCAAACTAACCTGCTGGTCAGGGCACCTGCCCTCTAGTGGTCAGTGCACATCATAGTGAGCAGTTGAGCAGTCTTGGTATACCACTAGCATATTACACTTTGATTGGTTGAACAGACGACCAGATGACTGTACAGTTAGCATATGAGGCTTTTATTACATAGAATATAAAAGCCTAAGTGACTAGCTGACCGTTTGGCCATTCGACTGGTAGCTATGATGTGCACTGACCACCAGGGGGCCTGCTCAATGCACAGGCATGGAAACATGGAACAGACTGATGAATCTCAGAGGAAGGGGGAAGGGCAGGAAGAGATTAACCAAAGATCTTACACTCATACTAGAGACCTCTTACACATGGGGCCCCTCAGCCTGGCCGGTGGGAATCAGGATGAAGCCGGCAGTCTGACATCCCCCAAGGGCTCCCAGATTTCAAGAGGGTGCAGGACAGGCCAAGGGATTCCACCAGTGCACAAATCCCTGTACCAGGCCTCCAGTATTTACTATAATAAAAAAAGGTTTGTTAACTATACATGAGATGAACAGGTATAGGTATAGCTGAACAACTAGATGCTACCAGCAGGATTACATGGGAGAATAGATTGGCCTTGGATGTGATTCTGGAAGAAAAAGAAGGAATATGTGTAATGTTGGGAGGCCAGTGTTGTACATTCATCTCTAACAACACAGCTACAGCTGGAACTATTACTAAGGCCGTGCAGGGATTAATAACTTTAGGCCATGAGTTAGCTGAGAATCCTGGGATTGAAGATCCTTCCTCCAATCTACGAGAGCAATGGTTCAGACAATGGAAGAGGATGATGGTATCTATATTCACCTCTTTGATAATTGTGTTAGGAGTTACAGAGGTGGGATGTTGTATCATCCCATGTATGAGGGGCCTTATCCAAAGGTTAAATGAAATTGCATTGACCAAACAGCAAAATAATCTCATCCTCCTAGACACTGAAGAGCATGAAACTCAATGAATGTTAGCCGAGTTTGAAGAAAAGAGTTAAATAAGAAAAGGGGGCCCTAGCCGGTTTGGCTCACTGGCTAGAGTGTCAGCCTGTGGACTGAAGGGTCCCAGGTTCCATTCCATCAAGGGCATGTCTCCGGGTTGTGGGCTCCATCCCTAGTAGGGAGCAGATGGGAGGCAGCCAATCAATGACTCTCTCTCATCATTGATGTTTCTCTCTGTCTCTCCCTCTCCCTTCTTCTCTGAAGTCAACAAAAATATAAATAAAGAAAAGGGAGGGAATTGTGGGAATAAGCATGTAATCTTTTCTGTCAGAAAAGGGAGTTTAGGCAGCCACCATTTTGGCTTTCCTAACTTGCAGCTCCCCTGGGGGCTGCCATTTTGAAATGGCAAAAGTCAACCCCTTCCTTTTTCCTTTAGATTAGCCAATCGTGCAAGACTGTGAGCCTAAGCTCTGGTTTTTGTGCTGGCCTTCTTTCTAACAGAAGCATCAGTGATGAGAGAGAATCTTTGATCAGCTGCCCCCTGTATGCCCCCCACTGTGGATCAAGCAGCAACCCGGGCATGTGCCCTGACCTGAATCAAACTGTAATTTCATAGGTGGATGCTCAACCACTGAGCCACACTGGTCAGGTTAGGATTTATTTTTTAATTGACTTTTTGGCAAGAGAGAAGCAGCAATCAGTAGCCTCCTGTATCCTCGAACAGGGATTGAACCTGCATCTTAGGCATCTTCCCTGGGGGGAATCAAACCCTAATCCTTTTGATATACCAGATGGTGTACTGGATGAAGCTCTAACCAACCAAGGCTCCTAAAAGGATTCTTATCTTGGTTTAAATCTTTTATTAATTTTGGCATTTCCCCCTTTTGATGGAGATCTTTGAAGGCATAGCTGATCAGCAGTCAGATCTTCCAAAATCCTTCCAAAAAGCCTTTTGTCCCTTAATACCAGGAAGGGCCTTTTCAGGGTCTCCTGTTGAATGCCGGAGGGAAAATGCATGGTCCAAAAATGCATGTCCAGGTTCAATAAGCAACAGGTACAAATTTTAACAGAAAAAAAAAAAGGCAAAATTAAAAACATAACAAACTTAGTGTATCTGATAGTTTTAAAACAGGAGCTCAGACCTGAAAATAGAGAACTAAACAGTCATTACATTATAAAAGTTGAGGGGGAAGTTCCCCATAATGGCCATTGATGCTCTAAATTACTTCTGGTCATAATAGTCCATTTAGTTAAAAATGTACATTAAAGACCATGGTTTTCAAAATATTTTTAGTTTTTTATTCTATTTTTTAAAAATATATTTTTATTGATTTCAAAGAGGAAGGTAGAGGGAAAGAGAGAAAGAAACATCAATGATGAGAATCATTGATTGGTTGCCTCCTGCATGCCAACTATTGGGGATCGAGCCTGAATCAAACCTGCGTCCTCCTGGTTCAGAGTTTGATGCTCAACCACTGAACCATGCTGGCCAGGCTATTTTGATTGATTTTCAGAGAGAGAGGAAGGGGGAGGGAGAAACAGAAACATCGATGTGAAGGGGGAACCTGGACTGACTGCCTCCTGCATGCCCCCTACTGGGGATGGAGCCAGCAATCTTTTGGTGCAGGGGATGATGCCCAACTCACTGAGCCACACCGACTGGGTGGAACCATGGTTTTTAAACATAAATTTGGCTGGAAGCTCTATAGGAGGGAAATATTTAGATACCCAAGACCCCATTTTTCAGAGGCTTTTCTCTAGAGAAAGGGCCCAAATTTGCTAAACAATTCAAACAGTTAGCTTAGACAACCTGCAGCCTGAAAAACAACCAATTCCATTAAATATATATATATATATTGTTGATTTTTTACAGAGAGTAAGGGAGAGGGATAGAAAGCTAGAAACATCCATGAGAGAGAGAGAAACATTGATCAGCTGCCCTCTGCACACCTCCTACTGGTAATGTGCCTGCAACTGAGGTATTGGACAGGAATTGAACCTGGGACCCTTCAGTCCAAAGGCCAAAGCTCTACTACTGAGCCAGACTGGTTAGGCAACCAGTTCCATTTAGAACAGTCAGATCCAGTCCTGGCCTGGGTAGTTCAGTTGCTGAAAGCATCCTCCCCTTATACCAAGATTGTGAGTTTGATCCCCAGTCAGGGCACATACAAGAATCAAACAATGAATACATAAATAAGTGGAACAACAAATCAATGTTTATCTCTCCTTTCTACTCCTTCTAAAAATAAATAAATAAAACCCTGCCAGATGGCTCAGTGGTTGAAGGTCAATTTATGAACCAGGAGGTCGTGGGTTCATTTCCTGGGCAGGGCACATGCCCAGGTTTAGGGCTCAATCCCCAGTAGGGGGCGTGCAGGAGGCAGTCAATCATTGATTCTCTCTCATCATTGATGTTTCTATCTCTCTCTCCCTCTCTCTTCCTCTATGAAATCAATAAAAATATATTTAAAAAAAGAGAACCGTTTGATCCAAAGAATAAGGGGTCCGGGCCCCATGCTGAAGTAGCAGATTCAGAAACCCAGCTTGAGGTGGTCAGGCATAGGCTGAGAAGCAATGTAGTTCTATTAAAATAGCCTGCTTGGGAGAGAGCCTGGCCAAAGGCTAAAGGACACGGTTTCAACAGAATAGGAACAGAATCAGGCAGACAGACAGCTCAAACCTCCAGAATCTAAAAACCAAGTCCATGGCTAATACAGCCCCAAGGAACAGCCTAATCCCCTGGAATCAGGCCAAAGTATGAAAGGCAGAGCTCACAGACAAACAAGGCCTTTTAATATAAAAAGGGGAAAAAATAACTCTCTAAACAGATTCCAAATAAAACCCACAGAGCTTTAAAACACAAGACACCTGGAAGCTGGTACTAGAGAAAACTTACCCTCAAGCTTCCGCCGAGGGGAGAAAATCAACCAGCTCAAATAGCTGGCTCTTTGGGCACCACTTTTGTTTGTTCACCAGCCCAGAGCTATCAGGGTCTTCTCTGGACACCAGATGAGCCCTCACTGTGTTGACCACAATCGAAGCCGGCCAGGTATTCCTTCAGCAAAAATAATATTTAATTGGAAATAAAGTCAGGATTGCAACACAGCCCTTGCCACCATAGTGAATCAGGTGCAAGTTCCTGGGTAAGCAATGGAGAGGAAGTCTTTTATAGAAGGGAAGAGGAAGTGTGTGGTAGGGTTGTTATAACCTAGAACTCTCTTGTAGGGCTTTCTTTCACCACATAGGGCATTTAGAGCTCCTCTAGCAGGACTTCCTGATTCCTGTCCAGGTTAAAGACTATCATTAATTTTGAAACTGGCTAGCAAAAAGACCCATGAGATTTATTTTGTTTGGTTTGTCTATATTTACTATTTTGTTTAGTTGGAGGTTAGCCTCTATAGAGTTAATAGGTCTTGTGCTGAAACCGGTTTGGCTCAGTGGGTAGAGCGTCGGTCTGAGAACTGAAAGGTCCTGGGTTGGATCCCAGTCAAGGGCATGTACATTGGTTGCAGGCACATCCCGGTCCGGGATGTGAAGGGGGCTGATCGATGTTTCTGACTCTCTGTACCTCTCCCTTCCTCTCTGTAAAGAATCAATAAGATATATATATATATTTTAAAAAAGAGTTAATAGGTTTTGGGCTCCAGGGTAAAATCAGAGTAGAGACTATATCCGCTGCTTAGACAACTGGCTTGGACTATTTAATCACAGTCTCCTGTAGAGCCAAGTTCTGCATCCACCAGACCCAGGAACTACATTTCCCGGCAGGCCAAACGCCGGTGCTGACGTACTTCCTCCCGACGTCCCCCGCGAAGGGAAAAAGCCGAGTGGGATCGAGGCCGACGTGACAATCCTTCGTCGTCGCCACCACCACCGCTGCGGATTGAGAGACCTTGTCAGGGCCGTTCCTGCAGCTCCCGCCCGTCACCATGTCCGCCCAGGCGCAGATGCGGGCCCTGCTGGACCAGCTCATGGGCACGGCCCGGGATGGTGAGTCGGGGCGGCCAGCCAGGCGAGGGGCTGGGGCGGGAGTGAGGCGAGGCCACCGGACGGCCTGAAGCGGGACCGCAAATGTCTGCGCCTGCGCCCTCCCTTCCCCTCCCCCACGCGCCGATGGCAGGCGCCGCGCCTTTGTGTGAGCGGCTCGCCTGGCGGGCGACCGCGGCCGGCTCTTCTCCCACCGGCGGCGGATCCTCGGCGAGCTCCTCCTCCGAGCCCGCTCCGTCAGCGGGGCTCCATCCCCCTTCCCCATTTATGGTCGCGCCATTTCCGACCGGGCAGTTGGCGAAAGGCTGGAGCCACCATAGGTTTCAGGTCGTCGGCAACTTTGGAGAAGCTACCCCCAAGGGAGCCGATGGGCCTCGAACTCCCTCCGTTCTGGTTCTGCACCATTGCAAGGAGAGCCGTAAATTGAGCTTTTCTTATGAGGGTTCCTGCCGAGTACTTTTCCAAGCCCACTTCCCACTTAGGAGAGGCTCTGTTTAGCCAGCGCTTGTCAGTCGTCAGGTTAGGTTGTCTTGTAGGGAGGAGCGCAAGATCATTCATGGTGGTTGTCTCAGGAGAAAGTGATTGCATCTTTGCAAAACTACATACCTGCTGTGGTTTGTGTTTTCTTTTCTACCGAAGTAATGCAGTTGTAAGTTCACACTGGCACATTCGCAGGGCTGTGCAAATTCTTTGCACTATATTTCAGTAGGTGAAAACGTGCTTTTTAGCTTTCTTTGTATATTGAGTTGCTTTTGAATTGCTTCCCATATTTTTATTTCATACAAACTGAACAATTGTGGCCCCTCTATTTTATTTATAAAGGTTCAGTGTATCTTTGCCTGCCTACATCAATCTGCAAGGGAGTTGCAGAAAAGCCTCATGTTCATCGAGCCGTGAGTCACAACCAATTTCTAAGCTGTTATAACAAAAAAGTGTTTGCTTTTTTTCACACGTATCTTTAAAAGTGTAGTTTAGAAAGAGAGCATTTTCAATAAAAAGACACTACATTAATCCTGGATGCTTGCAAATCCTAAAATATATTCTCCTCCTTTAGTATTACACAGCTCTGTGTCCTATACACAGATTAGCTTTTAAATTTGTCACATTCCACTTTGCCTTTACTTTTATGTATCATTCCCCTGACTTCCTTACTGCAGGTTGGGCAAGAAAACTTTTCCTTTAAAACTTTTCAACTGCGGGCATAAAATTCTGCAGCTGAGGTCTTGAAGAATGCAGATGGGTACAGTATATGTTGGAACTCACAGTGTGTATTGACTAACCTAGTTCCTTTTTGCCTTTTTTTTTTTTTTAAGTTTTTTTCTTCTTTTTTTTAAGTATTGTCTTGTTAACAGTGACTCCCAGGTGCCAACGCTCCTTTCTTAAGGGTGGGGGTGAGAAGGGGATAGGGAGACTAGGTCTGGATTATTTATTAGTGGTAGAGTTTGAAAGCTTACTTGGTATTTTTGAGCAAAATGCTGCCTACACATTTTGTCCACAGCAAAACGATTAGACTAATTAATAGCTTTGTTGGCGGAAACTACCAGCTATAGGTCATACGTGGTGATTCATGGCCCTCTGATTAACATGGGTTTTGGTATCATTGCCCACATGTATGTGTGGGTCTACTGACCTTTTGGTGTTCAGCCTTTTACTTCTGACTCCTTGACTTCTTTGGCACAATGATTGAGTCAGATCTTATTAAATGTGATTCTTCATGATATATTTAGCATCAAAAAACATTTGTATTCCACTGCAGTTGTAAATATCTCTAGATCAGCTTTTCAGTGTATTTGGTAGTCTGCAAATCATCCAGGTGACTGGTACCAGATATGCTTTTGTATTTAACATGGTATTGTCTTATTTAAAACCACAAATAAATTTCAGGAGATGAAACCAGACAGAGGGTGAAGTTTACAGATGACCGAGTCTGCAAGAGTCACCTTCTGGACTGCTGCCCTCATGACATCCTGGCTGGGACGGTAGGAGCATTTGTGGGACATTTCGGGGGGTAGAGGGAGACATCAGAACACTTGGTTTGGGGTGCTGTGTAGGCAGTATAAGTTTTCCAGGTTGAATTCTGTCTTCCTTTATCAAATAGAAATCACTTTTTTAAAAAAAATATATTTTATTGAGTTTTTACAGAGAGGAAGAGAGAGGGATAGAGAGTTAAAAATATCGATGAGAGAAAAACATCGATCAGCCGCCTCCTGCACACCTCCTCCTGCAACCAAGTTACATGCCCTTGACTGGAATGGAACCTGGAACCTATCAGTCCGCAAGTCCACTGAGCCAAACCGATTTCGGCAGAAATCACTTTTATTGCCCCTTCAAAATTATAGGTTCTTTTAGTTTAATGGAATTTTAAAAAAAATAAACAATAGGTTTTTATTGCTTTTTCAAAAAGAGAGGAAAGGACAGGGAGAGAGAGAGAGAAAGAGAGATGGAAACATTGATGAGAGATGATAGAAACATGGATCAGCTACCTCCTGGACACCCCTTACTGGGGATCCAGCCCATAAGCAGGCATGTGCCCTGACCTGGAATCAAACTGACCTCCTGGTTTATAGGTTGGCGCTTAATCACTGAGACAAACAGGCCAGGCAAAAGTTATCAGGTTTTTGTAGAATCAAACAAGATAACATTTCTTCTCCGAGTTTAGAAGTTTTCTAAAAATCAGTTGGGAATAGCATTGATTTTTCTAGTTTTGTGTTATGCAACTCTTTCAAGAAAGTAACACATGATTCAATGATTATAGACCCCTAAAATTTTAAGTTCAGTTCAGATGAACAAAACGGGTGCTAATTTTGTAGAATTGCATTTATTCAAAATTAGATAGGATTTAAGAAGACTAAAGAGTGTAGGATCTATAACTATCTAATTTTAAGATTTCACAGCCACCTCGTGGATATAAAAACTGTCTTCATTTTAAGGCTCAAATGTGCATGTACTAGTGAACGTTTTCTTTGTGATTAATCATTGCTTTATTAATATCATTGTAGTGGGAAACTGCTTAGGTGTATTAAATCTTCTCAAACTGGCTCTTCTGACAGCAAATAGGAAATTAATGCCAAACCTTGTGACTTTGATCTTATATAGGAAAGCATTGTAACTCGTATTTGCTACAGATTTTTGTGTTGCTCTTTGTGTATCAAAGTCAAGCAGAATAGGCAAATTCAGAGCCAAAGGAATCCATCAATGTAGATGTCTAGCTTCCATTAGTTATAAACAGTTCAGCTATAGGATACTCCTGTAGGAGAAGTTTCATAACCTGGAATTGTTGATAGATCTTAGTGGGAGAAGTTTGGAGATGAGGGACATGAACCAGAGTGAAGCAGTTCAACCAGGTTTTTCTTTATTGATTAAGGTATTACATATTTATCTTCAACCCTCCATTCCAATCCCGCACCCTCCCCAGTCATAATCCCACCCCCCTATTGTCATTGACTTCTGGTTAGGCTCATATGTATGCACACAAGCTTTTGGTTGATCTCTCCCTTTTATCCCCACCTTCTCTCTGATGTCCAACAGTCTGACCCATGGCTCCTTATCTCTGGGTCTGTTCTTGTTCATCAGTCTATGTTGTTCACCGTTTCCCCTAGATGAGTGAGATCATGTCCTACTGGAAATACACTTGTAAGAATAAAAAATGAGACAAGCAATAATGGTTATGCTGAAAGGTAAATGAATCAGTCTGTAGTGAGTTTCTTTTTGGGCCAACAGTTATTTTGAGTCCCAATTTCAATGTCAAAACAGTTCTTTATGTGTATATGTCAGCAATGATATTTCAGTTCTGTATGGTGGACAAATGGTGGTAATGCAGGTCCGACCTTCTCTGGTTTGGTCCTGGGCAACCTGCAGTGATAACACAGCTGCTGACTGCTATTATGGCAAGGCGTCATCAGCGTCTTCCATCCCTGGACTGCTTCTCTTTTGTCTTCATGGCTGGAGTAGTCCTGTCAATTGCTGTCTGTTGCCAGAGTCCACATGGTCTCGGAGTTGTTTTCTGAAAATATACAAACATATTCTCCACCAAAAGTTAATAAAGGAATCTTTTCTATAAATTTGACTTGGGGTCCTTTTTCATTTTTTGCCCATGTGATTTTCCTCTGGCTTGTTTTGACACCATGTGTGTTTTTCATGGGTGTCTTGCTGTTAGCATTACAATTAATTTTCTAAAGTACAAATTTTCTAGATGTAATTTACTTACAGGATATTTTTCCTTATATGATATTCTTCTACTTTCCCCCTTTTTTGATTTAAGTATTAGGAGGCTTTTGAAAATTTTATAAGTCTTGATAGCTTTTAAATTTTATTTTTTTGCACTATAATATGACTACCTTAGGTTCATTTCCTGTTGTGAAATTTTATCATCAGATGAACTACCAATAAAAATTTTAGTTAACACTTTAAGAACAGCTTTTTGTCCAGTACAATTAATTTTTCTAGAATATTCGCTTATTTCATTTAACCAATTTAAATTAGCCTGAAAACTTGTCTACTATTTTACTGTCAAATTTATCACTCTAAAACAATCTTATTTTACCGTGTAAATATTAGTGGAAAGAATTATTTGCCTTCTTGAGTAGGCCCTAAGCATTCCTGGTGGTAGGCTGGATTTAGATATCAAAAACCCACTACCATGGGTATAAGACAACTCAAATAAAGTCTTGTTATAGTGAGAGTGCAGCTGCTGTCAACCAAGTCTCTGTCTTTTACCTGGGTCCCAAGGGGGCAGGAGACTCCCTCAACAGGGGTGAGGGTTGGCTCCCAAGTTCTCTCCTGATGGCCCCTCTTTGACTGTGCAGTCTTAGGTTGTTCCTTCCCTGAGGAATCTTACCCGTGTCTGGCTAACCAGCCATCCTCCAGGGCCAAGCAGGGTGATGTGAGGTTCAGTTCTGTCTCGTTGGTACCCTATGCCCCCGTGGCCTCCATGTTTTTCTTTTTAGTATATATATATTTTTAATTAACTTCAGAGAGAGAGAGAAACATCAGTGTTGACAGAATCATTAATGGGCTGTCTCTTGCATGCCCCCCACTGGGGATGGAGCCGACAACCTGGCCATGCGCCCTTGACCGGAAACGTATCCAGGGGCCTTTCAGTTTGCAGGCCAATGCTCCATCGACTGAGCCAAACCAGCTAGGGCCAATGATGTTTTTCTTAAGCAGATCCCTGTGTAACATTGTACCAGAATGCTAGTGAGAAAAATAACCAGAATGAGGCCGTTTCCTACCAATGTTTATTGTGTTAGGTTTATTGTAGATTAATTCACCAAGCATTTACTGGACACCTACTCTCTGCGCCAGACAGACACTGAGGATATGGTGCCAATAAGACAAAGTCTTTGCTCTCATCTAATGGTGAAAGAACATAAAATAAATAATGAGTAGGCAATGGACTATTCTAGATAGGGTGATAAGGTAAGGACTCTTAGGGACATTGGAATAGAGGCTTGACCGGTGAGAAAGAACATGTGCCTGCTTTTGAGGATATAATGCTCTGGGTAGAGGGTAGAGATGAAGGACAGCAGGAATGCCACTGGTGTATCTGGACTGGTGTGAGTGGGGAGAGGGAGGCAGAGGCTGTGGAATCATTTGAGTTATGAGAAGCCACGGACTGATCTGTTTCACTCTGGTGACAGGTTGGGCAGGGGCATCTCAATAGGAGCAGTCTGAGGAGAAGGAGACATGTTCATGTGAAGATGCAAATAAATCTCAGGAGCCGAAACCGGTTTGGCTCAGTGGTGGAGCATCAGTCTGCAGACTGAAGGGTCCCAGGTTCGATTCCGGTCAAGGGCATGTACATTGGTTGCGGGCACATCCCCAGTGGGGGGGTGCAGGAGGCGGTTGGTCGATGTTTCTCTCTCATCGACGTTTCTGGCTCTATATCTCTCTCCCTTCCTCCTCTCTGTAAAATATCAATAAAATATATTTTTTAAAAAATAAAAGAAATAGGCTACCTATTTCTTAAGAAAATAAATCTCAGGAGTTGCCAAGAATCCATTAGGATGAGGATTGGGAATTCAGAGGGAGGTTGTAGTAAAGGTGGAGCCTCCTTGGGTGTGGGCTACATGGGAGTGGAAGGTGAGGGCAGAGTTGAAGGAGGGTCTTATGGGGAGTTTGTGTTAAATTGGAATGAATGTAATTCTGTAGAGTGGAGCTGCAAGATGAAAGTGGTTATAACCATCAGCCTGCTAAGGGCTACGCCAGGCCCAAGTTTTTGTTCAAAACTATATCCTGTCATTGGGGTAAGGCAAAGAGGGTTGGAAGCAATAATTTTATTGGGACCTACTGGAAAAATATAATATTGGTTAGTAAGTTTGGGAGAATACAATAGCTGGAGGGAAAGTAGTATAACTTGTCTCAGTGGAAGAACTTTGTTTTCCAAGAGTCCTGGAAGAAACCGTTATTGTCTTTTCCTGTTGGCAGTGTCATCACTAGCTAACACCGGTGTTTGTGAGTAAAAAAGGTCTGACAGGCTAGATTTAACAGCCACTTGGGATATTTTGGAAGGATCTAATGAGTGTGATGTTTCAGCTCTGTTTGGTGTTTAGCTGCCAGGGTAGTTAGCTGCTACTGCCCTGCCTCCTTGGCAAAGTGGAAAAATACTAATCCTTCCAGAGAGTAACCATGGCAGTCAGGCCTGTCCTGCTTGCTTTAGCTTGAGGCTCGCACCCCAAGGAAGACAGTGGTGAATTTTGCTTCATTTGTGGTTCCCTAATGTAAAAACTTTCTTGGCATTTGGAAGTTTTCAGAGTGGAAATTTGATTTGCACTTAAAATTTTTAGCACTTAAGGTTTTAGTGCTTCCTGTGGTGGTTACTTCATTAGCTTTTATTTTATTTATCTTAGAGTGGAAAGGAGAAAGGGAGGGACAAAAACATCAATTGGTTGCCTCCTTTACACTCCCCCATGGGGATGTAACCTGAAACCCAGGCACTTACCCTTGCGTTTGACATGGAATTTAATCCTTGATCCTTTGGTGAGAGGGCCAATGCTCTGACCACTGGCCAGGGCAAGACTTTATTAGCTTTTACGTATTTCTGATAGCCGCCATTAATTTTTCAGCTAAAGTGCATAGTTTTATTTGTGGGAACTGTATTTTAAATAATCTTAGTACTTAAAAGAGTGAATGAAGCAAAAGTTCGCTTTACAGAGACAGTGATTCTAGTTGCAACTTTGGCTTCTAGAACCACTATTGCTCTTCCTTTAGGTCTTCTGTGTAACCAAAATACATGAGCTATATATGACTTCAGAGTAAGAATGATGAAGGAGAAAAGGTTTTAGCATTTAAAAATCTTTGGTAGAAATGAAGATAAACATGCTAGGCAGCTTACTGACATTATTACTGTCACTGGTGATATTGAAGGGGATATATATATATTCCCCCCCCCCCTAATATACTTTTATTAATTTCGGAGAGGAAGGGGGGAGAGAGAGAAAATCAGTGATGAGAAGACAGTCTTGGATAGGCTGCTTCCTGCACACCCTGGGGATTGAGCCCCCAACCAGACATGTGCCCTTACCGGACTCGAACCTGGGACACTTAGTCCGCAGGCTGATGCTCAATCCACTGAGTCAAACTGGCTAGGGCTGAAGGATATTTTGTTAGTGAGTACGGCACATACCTTCTATAACATAGGCCCCAAGAGCCAGGCACTGTGAGCCTCTCTAATTTTCCTAAAATGTTACGGATTTTATAACCCATGAAGGTTTTGATATCATTATGAACACAATTTGAGCTCAAAGGAGTTCCTGGGTTCCATCATTTTTTGTTTACCAGTTAGTTATGAGTTGTCTCATTGGATTTTGGGTTTTGTTAACTCGAACTCTATTATTTGATAAGCATGATCCTCAGTATACAAACTTCCCTGTTGCTGTTTAGATGTCAGAGGCAGTGTTTGTGTCTGTGCAATCTTGTACTCAGGATTTACATAAGAACTGTGCAGGGCCCTAACCAGTTTGGCTTAGTTGATAGAGCATTGGCCTGTGGACAGGTCCCAGGTTCGATTCCGATCAAGGGCATGTACCTTGGTTGCGGGCACACCCCCAGTAGGGGGTATGCAGGAAGCAACTGATCGATGTTTCTCTCTCATCGATGTTTCTAACTCTCTATCCCTCTCCCTTCCTCCCTGTAAAAAAAAATCAAGTGTGTGTGTGTTTTTATTAAAGAGTCTTTTGTTTCTCAAAAGGGCAACTGAGTGGCCCAATTATATGTCCAGGGTCATTTACCAGGTTAAGAGAATGGAGGATTCATTTGGCTCTGAATCAGCCTATTCTGCTTTCTTCCCTTTGGAATACAAAATGCTACACAAAAGCCAAGTGTTAGGTTGTGTTGTAATTGCCAAAACCTGATTTCCGTCTGCTCTTTCCTTTTCTTGTCTCTGCAATGTGAGCATCTTGAGTAGTCAAGATTGCATGAAGGGATGCCTAGGACTAGAAGCTTGTTGCTATCAAGACACTCAGGTTTTCTTGCCTTTCTTGCCACTCCCACCCCCAATTCTGCTATTAAAAAAATAGAAATTTTTTCTGTGACTGATGCAAAAATAAAGTTGGCAAAGTTAATGTTTTCATTTGTCCAGTTTTCTCTGGGTCTAAAAGAGATATAGCCGAGACCGGTTTGGCTCAATGGATAGAGCGTCGGCTTGGGGACTGAAAGGTCCCGGGTTCAATTCCGGTCAAGGGCATGTAGTACCTTGGTTGCGGGCATATCCCCAGTAAGGGGTGTGCAAGAGGCAGCTGATCGATGACTCTCTCTCTCATCGATGTTTCTAACTCTCTATCTCTCTCCCTTCCTCTCTGTACAAAATCAATAAAATGTTTAAAAAAAAAAGAGATATAAACCTTTACACTTGTTATATGCATCAGTTCTGTAGTCACGGTGGTAAAAGAAAAATAAGGCTTTTCAGCCATATTCTATTTCTTAATTTTCTTATGATAGATTTAATATTTATTATTAAATATTATTAATATTTAATATTAAAAAGTATTGTTTATATTGGTGACAGTTGAGATGCCAGAGCATGTGCTTTCTAATGGGTAGATGTTTGTGTGTAAACTTCTGTTTGTTTCTTACAGCGCATGGATTTAGGAGAATGTACCAAAATCCACGACTTGGCCCTCCGAGCAGATTATGAAATCGCAAGTAAAGAAAGGGACCTGTTTTTTGAATTGGATGTAAGTTTTATTTGGTGTTAATTAGTCCCTATTTGAAGAGCCAAATATTGAACTAACAGGAATAATGCAAAATAAGTAAGTTATGAAACAAACAAAATAGATACCTGTTATTCCATCACTCTAGCTAAGGACTGGAACATGGCCAATACCATTTTGTGTCTGCCTGTGTGTCTACCTCTCCAACACTATTCTATACTTTGTGTCATTTCCTTTTAAAAATATTTTTATTACATATTTTTATGATTCCTTGAAGATTGTTTATTTCTTGTCTTTGAGGCTTTAAAATGGTTTCATAGTGTAGACAGTTGTTAACTATTTTTTTGTTCAGTAGTGTTTCTATTTACCCATTTTGCTGGGTATTTTGTTTTGATTATTGATTGAGTATGGCTTAAACTATCCATTCTTTATTCATAGATAAAATTAGTGTTTTTTACTATTCTGAAGAGTATAAATATTCTTGAATATCACCTTGGTGCATGTGTACAAGGATTTTCCTAGGGTATATTCTATTATCTAGGATATATTCCTAGGAGAGGTAGTTTGTAAGGGATGCCCATGTTCATCCTTCTAAGATAATTCTTTTCTTTTTTCTCTCTCTTGTTTGATAAAGTGGCTATATCAATTTACACCCACAATAGAGGTGTATACATCCTTACCAACATTGGTATTATCAGACTGTTAAATTTTTGCAATTTAGTGGTTATAAAATGACATTTCACAATTTTTGTTTATTTTCTCCCAAAGGAATCTTTTTTAATTTTTTTTTATTTTTTTCCCTGAATTTGGCCCCACTCCCTCTGTGATACCCTGGAAATCATGATAATCCATGCTGCATGTCAGTTTATGTACTGTGATTCTTTCCATGCTACAACCATTGTAATATCTTAGATCTCCCCCCCCTCCTTTTACCCCTTCCCTTATGAGAATGCATGATTTAGAGTTGTTTTAATTTTTCCCCCCCTAATCCGCCAACACTATTATGAGCAGAAGTCATCAGAAGGGTTTGATGCCATTCAGTTTCCTGAGTTGAAGACTGAAAAAATGAAACCCAAAAAAGACGTTTCCCCCTCAAAGGACATTTTAAAGGATATATTGTTGCTGGAGTAAATCTGGTTAAGCCAGTAGTCTTAAAAAGTGATTAGAATGGAGAATTTTCCTCCCAAATATATTCTTTAATAGCAGTGTGCTCTCAGCATTGAATCTTTGAATGTCTAGCAACAGTTCAACTAATAGATGGGACTTAGAAATGGTAATTTTCAATGTTATGATTTTTAATTCTCCAATAACCTAAAAATGATTATATAAAGAGGCTGTTACCTAGGGATATCAGGTTTAGTAAACTGATAAATATACAGATACAGGTTGAAATCTCAGTTTTAGTTAATATATTATTTGGATCACAAACCTTAGCATTTCTACTAAGTCAGAAGGTCAGTGTACTTTTTAAATGGCCTGATTAATTTAATATCAGACTAGGTAAATAGAAGAAATTGAGGCTACAGAAAGAGATTGAAATATAAATAGTAATTGGATTTATTATGAGGAGTATATATTCAGTCAGAGTAGAGAAGATGGGTTTTTAATGAACAGCGTTGGAAACTGGATTAGCCAGTTGGAAAAATACCAAGTTGGAGCCCCAAGAAATTAAATTTGTTTTTGTCATCTTCAGCTATTAGAAAGCCTAGAAGCTATGAGAAAGACGATGCATTAGTCTATTATATGAAAACTTAGGATACTATTTTATGAAAAATTCCCATACTTAAAATCAGACAATAAACTGAGGCAAAATATTTGTATATATGATGATGGGCTAGTTTCCTTTCTACATTAAGTCTTCACTTAACGTTGGTAGGTTCTGTGACTTGAGTGAAATGATGTAAAAAGAAACCAACTTTACTGTAGGCTAATAGTAGATATAAGCAAGAGTAAAGTTCCTATAGCATCTCATGGATGTTCAATGAAATGATGTTATAAGGACCTGCTATATATAAAATTCATCATAGTTGCCATAGCTTAATAGAAAAGGGGTGAGGAATATTTCCTAGCAGGCTTCTAATCCTGTAACGTGCTGACTTTCACTCAGAACTAAAGAGATGGTGGGTTCAGTAATCCCGATACACCTGGAGAATTGAACATCTGAAGGTGTGAAAACACGTTCTGCCAGTGCCAGTTGTGAGAGTATATCTGACTGAACACTTGCATATATACTAAGATAAATGTGCTCCAGAATATTCTTATAGCATTATAACTTCGGAAAGCAGGAACCAAGAAGACTTCCCACAGTAAGGGACTGGCTAGATTAGTGGAATGATCTATAACTGTGAAAAGAGAATGGAGGTAGTTTAGTGTATGTTGATGTGAAATTACCTCTAAGATTAAGTGGATAAGCAGAATGTGGTATGATGCTTCCATGGTGTGTGTGTTGTTTTTTTAACTTATTGATTAAGGTGTTACAAATGTCATTTTTGTTTTATACTCCTTGACATGGTCACTCTTGTCTTAGTTGGAGGGCTAGAACAGGTCAAAGATCTTTTGGTGCTGTGTGAAAATATACCATATGGAAATTACTTTTTCTTTTGAAAAGGTAACCACCCCTTCTGCTATCTCCTTAAAAGTAATTTTGACATTATGGAAAGCTTATATTAAAGTGCTTGGTAACCATGCTATGGACACATGGAAGGGGGCCGCCTACCCAGAGCCTGAGGGTAACTTGGAGTAGCCGTCTCTGTAGAAGGGCATCTGTCAGGAACTGTGGGCATGTCCAGTGGACATACACTGTATGCTCCTCCCAGGACTCTACAACTGGGAAGGTATCTTGGGGATTTGTGCAAGTGAATACACAGAAAAGAGGCTTGTTGCAACTTTTTTTCAGGGGGCAGGAAAGCTATGATAAAACCGTTAATGGGGGCTTGGTACACAATTTGTGGTCCTATCATTGTTTCATGAAGTTTTAAGCAGGTATCTCTGAGTGTTAGGGAGATTTTACCTTAAAAGGTTTTTTTGTTGTTGTTGCTTTTACAGTAATGGCTTTAGATATAGTTCACGTGCCAGAGAATTTGCCCTACCTTAAAAATTTATATTAAAAACTATATTTTTCTAAAATATATTTTCATTGATTTCAGAGAGGAAGGAAGAAGGGGACACAGAGAGAAAAACCAATGATGACAGAGAAGCATTGATAGGCTGCCTCGTGCCACGCCCCCCCACCCCCCACCCCCCCGCGCGCGCGCACACACGCGCGCGCGCGCACACACACACACACGCACACACACACACGCACGCACGCACGCACACACACTGGGGATGGGCTCACAGCCCAGGCATGTGACCTTGACCAGAATCAAATCTGGGACCCCTCCTCGGTCTCCAGGCTGATCCACTGTGCCAAACTGGCTAGGACTGAAATTTATATATATATGAATAATTGATTTTTTTACAGAGAGGAAGAGACGGGGACAGAAAGTTAGAAACATCGATGAGAGAGAAACATCAATCAGCTGCCACTTGCACACACCCTACTGGGGATGTGCCCGCAACCAATGTACATGCCCTTGACGGAATTGAACCTGGTACCCCTCAGTCCACAGACCACACTCTATCCACTGAGCCAAACCAGTTTTGGCTAACATTTACTATTTTAAAAATATATATTTTTAAATTGATTTCAGAGAGAGGATGGGAGGAGAGGAGATAGAACTATCAATAATGAGAGAGAATCATTGATTGGCTGCCTCGACTTCCTGGTTCATAGGTCAGTTCATAAGTCCACACTCAACCACTGAGGCATGCCAGCTGGACCTATGTTAAAAGTTTAAAATTTATACATATTGGTAGTGTTTGGATGTGCCTGCGTTATTTTAATAATAAAAGTGACCTGACTTTAAAATGTCAAGCTATATTAACTTTTATTTCCTTAGTTTTGCAGAATAAACTTAGAAAGAAATATAAAGTTTTTTTCTGAAAATATAAATTTGTTTAATTAATTTGATGAAAATGATTTTCGGTGGCTAATACACACTCGCTGTTACTGATTCCAGCACTCTAGAAGGCTCTGAGACTTTTCACATGGAAGTTTCCCCTTTCCATATGACTAGCCATCCAGTATCTGTCTACTGAGATCACTTGTAGCTTTCAAAGAACATTTATTCAGAATGAATTCTCATAGAGGCTAGTTGTGATTGGTGGGGGGAGGGGGGAGTACACGTGTTTCAAAATTGCAATTTTGATAAGCACAACATATTAGCTTTTTGACCAGATGTGGTTCATAGACCAACCCTTGATAGACCCTGCTGCTGCCTCAAGATAACCTGTTTGTTGGCACTTAGCTCCCAACCTGCATGTAGCCCATAGGCTGTCTTGAGACTCAGGCTTGGGATGGAGAGCTCCCAAGTGTCCATAATGAGGTTGGCTTCTGGAAGAGCTGCAGTGTGATCAGCACTATTGGGAGATAGACTCATGATTTTCACAAGTTGTGAACCATCACTAACCTGTGATTTGTTCTCATTGTTCTTCACACATTTGTGTTGCTCACCAAATGTTTCTGCAGAATCTCTTCATTGTTGGCAATATTTCAGTGAGGTGGGTTAAAGATTTACCTCCAAAGTCTCTGAAAGTTCTAAGTTTAATGTTCTTTGCCAGAATGAATGGAAGCAGCAGGTGATACTGAGTAGGAGAGGAATCAGATCCCATTCAGTAGATCAATCAAGGATATTTAGGAGCTTTTTTAAAACCCGGTTTATATTAGAAAGCTGACAAAAAAAGTGTATAACATTTTTATTGTTTTAATATTGAAAAAATTTTAATCAAATATGTTCAATATAACAAGGATTTGAATTATATTTTAAATAATTTTTATTTATTTAGTAAAAAAAATGTTTTCACTGATTTTAGAGAAAGAAGAAGGGAGAAGGATAGAGAAATAGAAACATTGATTGGCTGCCTCATCTACACCCCCCTACTGAGGATTGAGCCCACAACCTGGGCATATGCCCTGACTGGGA